TGAGTAAGGAGGGAACGCTGCCTGAAGGCTTTCCCACATTCATTGCACTGATAAGGCTTCTCTCCAGTATGAATTTTCTGGTGTGTAACAAGGTGTGACCTCTGGCTAAAGGCTTTCCCACATGCATTACATTCGTAGGGTTTCTCTCCAGTATGAATCATCCAATGCCGAACGAGATCTGAACTTCCCCGGAAAGTTTTTCCACGCTCAGTACATTCATAAAGTTTTTCTTCCCTAGGAATTTTCTGTTGTTTGATAAGTTCCAAGTCAGAAGTGCAAGCTTTTTCACATTCAATTTCCTTTCCAGTACGTAGTCTCTGATGTTTAAGAAAAGCTGTGTGCCCACTGAAGGATTTCCCACATTCGTGACATTCATATGGTTTCTCTCCACTGTGGAGTCTCTGGTGCTCGGTAAGGCGAGAACGCTGCCTGAAGGCTTTTTCACATTCATTACCCTTGAAGGGTTTCTCTCCAGTATGAATTCTCTGATGTGTGACAAGGCGTGAACTTTGACTGAATGTTTGTCCACAGTCATAACATTCATAGGGTTTCTCTCCAGTGTGAATTCTGTGATGTATAATAAGATCTGAGCTTTGATTGAAGGCCTTCCCACATTCATTGCATACATATGGCTTCCCTCCACTGTGGATTCTCTGATGCAGGGCAAGGTTTGAGCTTCCCTTAAAGGCCTTCCCACACTCTTTACATTCACAGGGATTCTCGCCGCTGTGAATTCTCTTATGTCTAACCAGGTTAGAAATTTGATTGAAGTCTTTTCCACATTCCTGACATGTATAACGTTTCTTTCCTATATGAATTCTCTGGTGTATAATAAGATTTGAACTTTGATTAAAATTTTTCCCACATTCATTACATACATATGATTTCTTTCCTATATGAATTCTCTGATGTATGAACAGGTCTCAGCTCCGACAGAAGGTTTTTCCACATTCCTTACAATCATAGGTCTTATTTACATTATGCACTTTCTGATGTTCATTTAATCCTGACTTTCGTTTGAAGCTTTGTCCACAGACCACATATCTATGGGATCTTTCTCCTGCAGGAAGCATTTTTTCTTCTTCATTATATCCATGGCCTCTCTTTCCTGTAGTGGCTTTCTTGGGGATGAGATTAATTTCACTGACACCTCTCTGTTGGGAAGGGAGATGGCTCACTGCATCCTCTAAGGGGCTTACCCAATGCCTCAATAACTTGTCCTCAGGATCACTGGTTTCAACTAACTCACATTCCTGGGACATCTGTCTTTGGAGTCTTCCTGCTGCCCTCACTGAATCTTTTTCTTCAGAAATTTCCATCTTTGACTTCCATTCCTTCATCTTATTCCTGGTCTCAGAATCTTATTAGAGAGACTGTGGCTACCACAGGAACCTGTGCTACCACACACCCTTGTTGGTGGGGAAGAAACTTGCTAGGCATGAAGGGTGGTGGATTAATTCACTGGAGGAGGTGGGCAGTCTGGAGCTGGTTCACAGGAAGTAGCCGAGACAAAGGGCTTCTCTTCCTGGTACTGGTGAGCTGTTCTGCTTTTGGTGGAGCCACCATATCAATATATGGGAGGCTTGATGGCTTCCAGTGGACCAGCTCTGGCCCAGTGTGTTTTCCACCACCCAGCACTAGATCCTGACTGATACAGATACAAAGTTATCATTTCATTTTAGATCTGTGGGGCATCTGGGAGGAAATGTCCAGGAAGCTGATGGATAAACAGGTCAGGAGCCCAGGAGGAAAATCTCCAGGCCACCCCCAGCCTCCCGCTCCATCAGAGCTCCCTCCACGGCAGCCATCGCGCGGCCCGTGCACCTCGGGGGCTTCGCCACCATCTCCAATCCCGCTATCTCATTGTCTTTTTAATTTGCATCTCCATGATGACATATAATGTGGAACACCTTTTTATATGCGTATTGGACATGTCTAAATATTCTTTGCTGCGGTGTTTGTTTGTTAAGGTCTTTTGCCCATGTTTTAAGTGGGTTGTTTGCTTTCTTATTGTTGAATTTAAGAGTTCTTTGTATATTTTGGATAACAGTCCTTTATCAGAATGTTATTCTAAATGTGTCTTTGCGAATATTTTCTCCCAGTCTGTAACTTGTCTTCTTTACCTATGAACATTGTCTTTTGCAGAGCAGAACCTTTTAATTTTAAAGAAGTCCACTTATCTATTAATTATTTCATCAATTGTTCCTTTGGTCTTGTATCTAAAAATTCATTGCTATACACAGGATCATCTAAGGTTTTCTCCTATGTTATCTTCTAGGAGTTTTGTAGTTTTGCATTTTAGATCTACAATCCATTTTGTGTTAATTTCTGTGGAGGATATAAGGTCTGTGTCTAGATTTACTTATTTATTTATTTTTTGCTTATGGATGCCCAGTTGTTCCAGCATCATTTGTTGATAAGACTATCTTTGCTCCATTGTTGTGTTGCCTTTGCTCCTTTGTCAAAGATCAGTTGACTATATTTACGTGCGTTTATTTCTGGACTCTATTCTATTCCATTGGTCTTTTGCCTATTCATTTAACCAGTATCACACTAGTATCACATTTAACTAGTCTTGTTTACTGTAGTTTATAGTAAATCTTCAAGTTGGGTAGTGTTAATCCTCTAATTCAATTCTTCTCCTTCAATATCACATTGGCTAGTCTGTATCTTCTGTCTCTCCATATAAACTTTAGGATTGTTTTATCAATATCTGCAGAATAACTTGATGTAATTTTGATTGGGATTTCATTGAATCTGCAGATCAATCTGACATCTTGTTAATATTGAATCTTCCTATTGATGAACATGGAATAATTTAGTTCTTCTTTGACTTCTTTTATCAGAACTTTGCGATTTACTCATATAGATCTTGTGCATATTTTGTTACATTTACATGTAAGTATTTTATTTTGGGGGATGTGCTAATATAAATTGTATTGTGTTTTAGATTTTAAACTCCACATATTCATTGCTGGTATATTGCACAGTGATCAACTTTTATATATTAACCTTGTATCCTGAAACATTGCTGTTATCTCTTATTATAATAATGTCAGGAGTTATTTTTGTTAATTGTTTTGGGGGTTTCTACATAGACTATCATGTCATCTGAAAAG